TCGTGATCCACCTGCCTTGGCCTCCCAAAGTGCTGGGATTATAGGCGTGAGCCACCGCGCCCAGCCAAAAAAAGATGTTTTTAAGGTGAATGGTGTTGAGAAATGTCCTGTGACTTTCACTGATGGGCAAAGCAGGGAGAATTCTGCTCAGCTGGTCCCTCCTGCAGACTGTGTAGGAGGCGTTCTGGTATGAAGGGTTCATGTGCCTGGATTGACAGCCATTGGTCAGGTGCCTGCAGAGTACAGGGTGCAATGCTGGGAACTGGAACTATAACGATGGGGACCCTAATGTCCAGAGACCTAACTAGGGACCCTAGAGACCTCCCTAGGGGAGGAACAAGTCTTGAAGTTAGGAACTGGATAGCAAGGAAGCCTGTATCAAGCTGCTTGCACAACTGCTAAGTGTACAGAATTCCAGGGAAAACAAAAATGACTTCCAGCTGGGGTGTCCTTCATGGAAAAGTCATTTGGGCAGCCCTGTGGGAGTAACAGGAGCATTCCAGGTGGTATAAAGGGCCTGAGCCACGGTCCTTAGGTGGGACAGGGTATGGTGTGTGGCTGGAATGGAGGGTCTGTGTAATAGGACCCTGAGAAAAGATGCCTGAAGTGGTGATGGGACTCCCTTGTGTGTGGCTTGGGAGCTGGGCTATTTCACTGCACAGTGAAGCAACTGCCAGTCAGGAGCAGAAGCACAGCCTGGCTATGGGGAGGACTGGAGAGCGACGCTTACTGTTCATATTTATCTGCAGTCTCTCGTTCTCGTCCTTCGTCTCACATCGTTCTGCATACAGCTGGCTCACAGACAGCTCATCTCCAGGGACAGACAGCTCTGGGATCCACTGACTAATTCTTTTAAAAAGAAAGAAAATGGTCTGGACCCGGTGGCTCACGCCTGGAATCTCAGCACTTTGGGAGGCCGAGGTGGGCGGATCAGGAGGTCAAGAGATGGAGACCATCCTGGCCAACATAGTGAAACCCTGTCTCTACTAAAATACAAAAATTAGCTGGGTGTGGTGGCACACACCTGTAGTTCCAGCTACTCTGGAGGCTGAGGCAGGAGAATTGCTTGAACCCAGGAGGCGGAGATTGTAGTGAGCTGAGATTGTGCCACTACACTCCAGCCTGGCACCTGGCGACACAGTGAGACACTGTCTCAAAAAAAATAAAGAAAGAAGGAAAACACACCCCTCAAATTTCTCTCCCTCACTGGTGTTTTAGTGGATGCAATGCGATATAGTGAGGGGAGGGAAGGCAACAGAGGTGGTCCCTGGAGGACCTGGGTTTGCATGCAACATTGCACTTACTGTCTCTGCAGTCTCAAGTTTTGAGGCTGCCTGGGCCTGGGTTCCCTCATTTCCACAAAGGCAGGACTGGGTGAACTTTCTCAAAGTAAGCCCGTGCCACTTTCCATAATATAAGTGTCTGTCCAAAGCCCAGTTAGATTTAGCCCCCCATGACTATCCTCAGACAGGGAGGAGGCTTCTGCACACCTGTTTTGTTCCTAGCTCAGTGCTGAAGCACAGGATGCAGGGGCTTAATCAATATGTGTTGACTGAACGAAAGAATGCATGAATGAAGGAAAAAACGGTCACCTATGCTTGGAAAGTAGTGGCAGGCTGAGACCCACCTTAGCACTGGTGCCAGCTGCCTGGGGTTAGCACCTCAAAACCCAGAAGACCGATTTCCCCACAGAAATCAATACAGGAGAAACCATCAATAATTGCATTTCCCCATGCATTTCCTTGTGGTTAGGCCTGCCCCCTGCCTAGGCTTCATGCAGGTTTCCCATGACCGCCAGCCTGGAGGAACTCCCATAGGAAAGACAGCAGCAACGTAAGAGTTGGCCAGGGTGAATGTTAACACATAAGTTCACAGACAGGATGTGTGTTTCATTACAGTCTTTTTTCCTGAGCATTCGCGGTTTTGACTTGTGGTTGTAGAACAAGTGCTCAGTTAAACCCCTTTATCTTCTGCTTGCCAGACGTCACTTTCATCATGCCAATCTTCCAACGTCCACAAAGTTGTGTTCTTTGTGCCAGGCACTGTGCTGGTGGTTCACAAGTATCCCTTCGTCCCATGCTCACATCAGCCCACAAGGTTGGCAGGATGAACTGCTTTTGAGAGGCTGGGTCGTTGGCCCAATGTTGCACAGCTAGTGAGTGCTAAGCTGAGAATGAGAGCAGGCTGTGCTTGTAAGTTCAAAGCCCACTTTCTCTCTCAGGCACTCAGTAGTGTTCACTGAGTGCACTGAATTGAATAGAATCTTTCATTTCTTCCTCTTAACCTTCACCTTCTGTGTAGAGAATAGTGACCTATTGGAGGCGTCTCTTATTGATAGATTGATTGATTGATTAAGACAGAGCTTGGTTCCGTTGCCCAGGCTGGAGTGCCGTGGTATGATCTTGGCTCACTGCAACCTCCACCTCCCGAGTTCAAGCAATTCTCATGCCTCAGCCACCAGAGTCACTGGGACTACAGTTACCCACCACCATACCCAGCTAATTTATGGGCTTTTTTCTTTCTTTTTTTTTGAGATAGAGAGTCACTGTTGCCCAGGCTGGATTGCAGTGGCATGATCTCGGCTCACAGCAACCTCCCAGGTTCGAGTGCTTCTTCTGCCTCAGCCTCCCAAGGAGCTGGGACTACAGGTGTCCACCATGACACTGAGCTGATTTTTGTTATTTTTAGTAGAGATGGGATTTTACCATGTTGGCCAGGCTGATCTGAAACTCCTGACCTCAGGTGATATGCCCGCCTCAGCCTCCCAAAGTGCTGGGATTACAGGTGTGAGCCAAGATGCCCAGCCAATTTATTTATTTTATTCATTTATTTTTTTGAGACAGGGTCACACTCTTTTGTTCACATTGGAGTGCAGTGGCGTGACCTTAGCTTACAGCAACCTCCACTTTCCAGGCTCAAGGAATTCTCCTGCCTCAGCTTCCCAAGTAGCTGGGATTACAGGCATGCACCACCATGCCCAGCTAATTTTTGTATTTTTAGTAGAGAGAGGGTTTCACCATGTTGGCCAGGCTGATTGCCAATACCTGACCTCAAATGATCCACCCACCTCAACCTTCCAAAATGCTGGCATTACAAGCATGAGCCACCACACCAGGCCAATTTTTTTATTTTTTATTTTTGTAGAAACAGGGTTTCACCATGTTGGCCAGGCTGGTCTTGAACTCCTGATCTGCCCACCTCGGTCTTCCAAAGTGCTGGAATTACAGGCATGAGCCACCGCACCCTTGTCTTTTTTTTATTTAAAGAGACAAGACAGCAGTGATTAATATCTTATATTCTGGAGCAAAACTTCGTCGTGCAAGTGCCAGCTCTGTGAGACCTTGGGCCACTTACCCAACCTCCCTGGTTCTTAGTTTTTTAGCAGTACAGTTGGGATAAGGGTGCTTGGTTCATAGGATTGTTTTCAAGCTCAAATGAGATATGTGTACAAAGTGCTTACCATGATGCCTGCACAAAAGAGGAGCTCAATGAACATCAGCTGTTGTCACCTTCATTGTCATGACAATCCCCCTCCGCTTTCTGCAGGATGCCTCACGTAATGCCATTCACAAGCAGGTAGCTCACAGATAATGTTCTGATCCTGCTGTTTTTAAAGAATGGGCAGTGGTGCCACGCCTGTAATCCTAACACTTTGGGAGGCTGAGGGAGGCGAATCACTTAAGCCCAGGAGTTCAAGACTAGCCTGGGCAACATGGCAAAACCCTGTCTCTACAAAAAATACAAAACAGCCATGTGTGGTGGTGCATGCCTCTAGTCCCAGCTACTGGGGAGGCTGAGGTGAGAGAATCTCTTGAGCCCAAGAGATCAACACTGCACTGAGCCCTAAGCATTCCACTGCACAACAGAGTGAGACCCTGTCTCAAAAAAAAAAAAAAAAAAAAAAATGGGGGATTTGAAATTAGGGATGACTGTTGGAAAGGAATTTGTTAAACAAGATATGTCTTAGTAATAGCCAAAGAAGATCCCAAACACTTTTTTTTTTGCTTTATTTAAAATGTTATATAATTTTATATTGAAACTAAATTATAAGGAAAAAATGTCTACTCTTTCTTCCCCAAAACAAATTAATGTTTTTATTCATTCATCTTACTTTTCAATCCTTTCATTTGTTTGGCAAACTTGTATTTTTAAATTGATTTTTATCAAGTTATGTATGGTGATCCTCCTTTAACTCCTTTAAAGAATTTGTTAGACAAGATATGTCTTAGTAATAGCCAAAGAAGATCCCAAACACTTTTTTTTTG